TCTATGTATATATCTATCCATAAATTTTCTATATATATTAAATACATTACATGCATATATAATGTCTATCAGATAGATGAGGGCAACTCTAAATGTATTGCTACTTGAGTTGCTCTTCCTACAAAAATGAATTTATTGAAAATATAAATTAAAAAGTTTGTTGGTCTCTGTGATCAGAGGACAGCTACATACAGTTTTTCTTAATAATACACTTTTCTTAGTATCATTAGGGAAGCCTCAAAAAAAAAAAGGGGGGGGTGTTCTAATTAAAATAGACTTCTTAGGGAATCTACTGATCCAGTTAAATTCAAGGAAAATAGGTCAACTCAGAGGCTTATGACTGCTGTTTTGGGGATTCCAAAGATGTGGACCACAAGGTCAGTCCAATCTATAAAGTCGAAGTTCAAACCCACCAATCACTCTTTGGAAACCTTATACAGGGTTATTATGAGCCAGAACTGACCCAGCAGCACTTAATAAGTAGCAATAAATTGAAAACTGCTGTTTACTTATTACATATATTTTAGTAAATATGTATTTTATTTTGAAAAATATGTTATTTTCTACTAGAAATTACTGTTTCTAACATCAAAAAGCTATGAAGATTTTACAATCATATATGAAGTTCAACTTAATATATATTTTAAATGTTTTATGTTCTTAATATAAACAAGGACTTCCGGTGTGTATAAGTACTATATTGTGTGAACCACAGAGCTGGCAGTCCAAACTCACAAGTTGCTCATCACAAATCTATATAGGTTCACTATGTATCAGAACTGAAAAAAGGCTGCATCAGAAGAAAGTAATATAAGATGAAAAAATTATCTTTTCTGTCAAAATGACATGAAGATAGAATGAATTTAAAACTAATGTTCTCCCATGTAAACTATCATATAATTCACAATAAAACACTAAAAAAAAAAAAAAATGACATGAAGACAATGATACCCACTAACAAATCATTTGATCATTAGTTGTCAAGCATTTCATTTTACTTTGATACATAATCAACACTCATGGATGCAACAGTCAAAAAGCCAAATGACATATTTCATTGGATAAATACACTGCAGAAGACCTCTTTAAAATGTTAAAGAGATATGTCACTTTGAGGGCTAAGGTGAACTTGAC